GGAAGCATCCAAGACCAGGTGCTGGGGGTTCTAGGAAGCTTCCTCACTAACACGATTGGAGCTGAAATCCGGTATGGAAAATAGGAAGGAACTTTTCCTTCCAGTGATGTGGGCATGTAACACAAAGGAACGCCAACGCCTGCAGATTATTTAGCCTTCCTTAGCATTGCTCTCTGGCAGTTTTATTCTCTTTTGGTACTGCCCCTTTTGATTTGTGAAGAAGAATAAAGATAGTGTGTTCTGGATCACAATATGCTGTTTTACATGCAGAGCAAGGACGCAAGCAAATCTGTTTTTATATTTTTGGATTCAAATAAATCAGTTTTTCCTGAACCTTTGCATCTGTTCTGCTCTTCAGAATGCCTTTGCAGGACAAGGTATGGCTTAATGAATCAAGGACAAGTTGGGGTCTAATCCCTGCTCAGCCATAAAACTCACAGCTGATGTTAGGACAGTCCAATGTTCACATCCTGGCTCACTTCGCAGCGCTGTCGTAAGGATAGAGTGTAGACAGGAAGAGAACTCTGTACTTTGCTTTGAGCTCACTGAGAATTTAAGGCATGACTCTCAGTCTAAGGTCCAATCTTCCTCTTCTCTCATTCCTTGGGTGTCTCAACTGGAAGATCTCTTGCTCAGCAGGAAAGAAAACTATTGTCAGCCAAAATGGAGAGGACAGGCCAGTGATATGTCCCTGAAACAGACTAAACATTTTAGTTAAAACATTTCAAAACATGTTCCGCTAATGGATGCCAGACACAATGATTGGAAAGTTGGTTTCTTGGGGTAAGAATTCCCAGAATTCCCCAGCCATTTATAAACATGTTAAAACCTGTTCTCCTAATGGATGCCAGAGAAGAAACAAACACAATGAAAAACCGGCATCTTGGAAAGTTGTTTTTTGGGGGGTAAGAATTCCCCAGCCATTTATAACCATGTAGAGCCATAACCAAGCCATCGTGATAAAAACCAAAGAAAGAGTCAATACATTCAAATGGGATAATCTGAAATACATGGGGAAGCCACTAAGGGGCACAGGATTGGGAGAGAGTATCTTTAATCTCCAAAAATGTGCTGCTGCCATTAAAATCATCCCCCGGCATCCAACCGCTAGGTTGGCAGGAGCTGGGACAAGCGACGGGAGCTCACTCCATCAAGTGGATTTGATCTTATGACTGCAGGTCTTCTGACCCTGCAGCACAGAGGCTTCTGCGGTTTGACCCGCAGCACCACCCTGTCCCAGTGCTACAGCTCACTAAATCAGGTTTCTGTCTGCGAAGGCAGAAGTTGGGAGTTCAATTTCTCACCGTGCATCCGAAAAAATCTTGCTTCTGTGGCCTTGTGGAGGCTGCACAATCCCAGGATGCCCCCAGAAGGTACAGCTCACTAAATCAGCTTTCTGTCTGCGAAGGCAGAGGTTGGGAGTTCAATTTCTCGCTGTGCATCCGAAAAAAGCTTGCTTCTGTGGCCTTGTGCAAGCTGTACAGTCCCAGCATGCCTTCAGAATAAGGGAATGGTAAACCACTTTTGAGTACTCTCTACCTGGAACCCCCTGAAAAAAAGTGTTGTCATTAGTCAGAATTGACTTTATTGTTTTTATTTAGTTATTCAAAATATTTATGTCCCACCTTTCTCCTACAAGGGACCCAAGGTGATTATTAAATTACATAAATTACATATATAAAATTACAGCCTCATTTAACAATTGATATAGGTATGGGTTGTGTGTGGGTATCTGTATGTGTGAAGAAAGGGTTGAATTTATATAAGGAGCCTAAAGCTACAAAGGTTGGGAAATGTAAAAGCCACGAAACACATTGTTACATCATTTTTTTCTGAATCATGAATTTCCAATCCACACCCTTCCCCTCCAAACATCCTGAGAACTGCTGGTTCAGAGGTTTGCGCCGGTTCCTTTCTTGGCCAAATGGGTGCTCGGGGCCTCAAAGCCCCGCCTCCTCCAGGGCATGACCACTCAGAGGCAGCCCCCTGGAGGAGGCAGGGCAGCCAGGGCACTGCCTGAGTGGACACCCACCAGAGGAGGCGGAGCTTTGAAACGTGGAACACAGTCAAGAAACGAACCAGCACGAACCCCTGAAACAGTGGTTCGGGCCCATCTCAAGTCCTGAAGAACCCTCAGAATTCTTTGGGGGAAGCTGCTGTGGGTCATGGGAAAGGAGTAATTAATTTCCAAAAATCTTTGCCGGGGAATGATTTTACTGGCAGCAGCACGTTTTTGGAAATTAAAGATACCCTCTCCCAGTCCTATGGCACTTAGTGGCTTTCCCATGTATTTTGAATTGTGGTGCTGGAGGAGACGAATTAAAGATACTCTCTCCCAATCCTATGGCACTTAGTGGCATCCCCATGACAAAAGGGATGCCAAGAAACCCTGGGTACTTTCAGTGGGAAATTGGCAATTATCAATTTTCTAAAAAAATTATGTGGCTGCTCATCAGCCTTCCACGGCACAAGCTACACAAACTGCCAAATATTCACGGATGTCAGCTATTTGGGTGGATCCAGATTTACCCTACTTAGATACTCCCAAGTCGTGATGTATGGAAGTGAGAGCTGGACCATAAAGAAGGCTGACCGTCAAAGAATTGATGCTTTTGAATTGTGGTGCTGGAGGAGACTCTTGAGATTCTCCTGGACTGCAAGGAGAACAAACCTATCCATTCTGAAGGAAATCAACCCTGAGTGTTCACTGGAAGGACAGATCCTGAAGCTGAGGCTTCAATACTTTGGCCATCTCATGAGAAGAGAAGACTCCTTGGAAAAGACCCTGATGCTGGGAAGTGTGAAGGCAGGAGGAGAAGGGGACGACAGAGGATGAGATGGTTGGACAGTGTCACCGAAGCGACCAACATGAATTTGACCCAACTCTGGGAGGCAGTGGAAGACGGGATGGCTTGGCGTGCTCTGGTTCATGAGGTCATGAAGAGTCGGACACGACTAAACAAGAAGATACTCCAATCCATCCAATTTGCTGTATATATTTAAGACACTTTTAATGACAGTAGTGTTTGCACACTTGATTAGAACACAGCAATTGGGTTTCAGTCAGCTGAAGATCCTTTTGTTCAAGTCCAGTGTTTTCCAGTTAGATGCAAACAATGCAACGACTGCACTGGAGATTACTCTCAGGTATCAATGCACAGCACTGCTGCAATCAGTTGCTTGATTGTTTTGGACATCTGTGTTTTACAGTGAAGTTGTTAAACAGAGTGGAAGCTCCTTTGAGTAAAAATAGTAGAAAATGTAGTGATGCAGAGAAACAAAGACAGACTCATCTCGCAACTTGAGAGACAACTGTGTATGTCCAACAGAGCAACCAATTCAGGTTTGTTCATGGCAAGAGTGGACCGCACTCTGTTTGCCTGACCTTTTCTGCTCTGCAATCTAATGCATATGAAGCTGCTTCGCCCCACATCAGCCAACATGTGCAAATACCCCAATGCCATTTACTCTTGCCAGCAGCCACCTTTCCAAGGCAAGGGTCTTGTACCTGCCCTTGTGGAATGGAACATTTCCAAGGAGCTGTAGTCCATATACTTTTCCAAATTCCACAACATATATATATTTCTCATAAGCGGTAGATTCTTCTGCAAATGTAATGCAGACCACAGTGAGAAACTCATAATTCAACTGGGGGACGGGAAATACCTAAATGTAAAATACTTTCTTTAAGTATAGGACTTGTTACTTTAAAAATATGCTCCCACCACCTCCCAGCGATCAAGAGTGAATAGTAAGAGAAACAAATTTCTAAATGGGAAACAATCTCAGATTATAAAATACTCTGCCAAGTGTGGTTTAAAAAAAGACTTCCAAGTTCTGGATCCGGCATAACCAGTGAAAAACAGAAAGGAAAAAAGGATCCTTGGATAGCTTTCCCCTCTCTGGTACCTTTCCAGTTGTGTCATGTACAACAGCCATTTTCCCTTCCCATCATCCAAACCACATGGCAGACTACGGAAGGCTGATCAATGCCTTGCTGTGGGTTCCAAACTGTTTCATTCTTCAGCCCAACTGTTCAAGAACCAGACAAAACTACTGAGATAATTGAAATTTGAGTTAGTCCAAATTTGAGTAGACCGATTGAATGAATGGAACACATTAAGGCAACACTTCTGTAAGTTCACTTGATTGAATGGGTGTACTCCAGTCAGAAGTAACAACTGGATCCACACAACAAAGGGAGTTTTGTCTTAGGTTTGCTTAGGATGTGCCACTAAACATCAATGTTGTTTCTATGTAAAGACTGTTTCAAATGGCAGATGCTTTAGAAACCCCTTCACAGCTCAAAAGCAGTATATAAAAACACAGAATAAATAATCCAAAGGTAAGCCATGGCCAACTCATATGTGGAGCCAATACATCACGTTAAGTGAGAAGGCTACTATAATTGTTACTGCTCACAAAATATTGTGGAGTTTTCACAATCCCAGAGGTAGGCACATTTAGGTACCCTGAGAAGCACAGCTTCACACTGTTTAACAAAAATTATTCCTATGCAGTCAGATTACACTGCAAAAATATTTCAAACATATTGAGTTTATCCACGTCTAATATGAAAAGCTTCACATGCCCAGTAGAACCTTGTTATCAGACCAGTAGGGCAGTATTCACTTTTGCAAACCGAAGAGATACACAGATGGATCCATTCTCAGGAAACCATCTTAACAGCATATACCTGCTGGTTCTAGCAAGTATTTAGGTCAAGCCAACACGTTTCTTTATGTAAGTATGTCTTACTATCATCAGTAAGAGGTGCTCACTGTGTTTCTTGCAACCGCTGCAGCCACCGAGACATTGGGAGAAGAAATACAGAACGAAAGAAGAAAATCAATGGCAGAGACTCATCAAATCAACTCAATTCACTCTTCCAACACAACATGAGCCTCCTATTGAGGAATTTTGGACGTCCATGTGGAAATCGAATTACACTTTGCCAAAGTCTCATTATTACTAATGAATAGTACTCTAGCAATAGCATGAATATTGCAACTAGAATCTGAGATACTAATCGCAATATCAGTATTACTACTATTGCTTTTGGTACTCGCAGTAACCTATTAGTAGGAATCTACTAATAGCAATCTATTTACTACTAGGAGCAAATCCTATTAGTTTTAAAATATCCTTCATTGTCACATGTTAATGACAGGACCTTCTGGAGGCCATGAATTAATAAGGTTGGCATAAACAAGAAATGGCTTGATGGTGTACAGCCACAATAAACTTGTCTGCTGTGCTACCCCCTCCCCGCGAAAAGAACCCACCTCAAAATACACTCAAATTCATAGCAGAACCTATTGTCCATACTGGATTTCAGCCTTAAGCTCATTGGTAATATAATTTGTCAGCATGGCCAGCAACCTCTCCTGAATGGCTGCATTCCCCATGACAAGGGCTATGAGCTGTGCCGTATCGGTCCAGTCTAAATTGCTGATGATCGCATAGGCTCTGTCATAAAGTCGCTGCTGCTCCACTGGAGACAATTCCAATATAATCTGAGGGATGGGCTTAAACTGTCCGCTGGTCATCCAGGCACCAAGCAGGCCACCAACGGCACCACCTAGAAACACAAAACAGAGACATTTTAAGGTTTGGTGGCTCACAGAGATCACATGACCAAGGCTTGGCATTTTTCACCATGCAGGGAATCTGGCCTCCACCTCTTTAGATACGGATAAAGGACAGGCTGCACAAAATACAGTGGGGAACGTGTGACACACCCCCCAGTAGTGTTGGACTGCCACTCCCCTCCAGCCTGGCTTGCATATCCAATGGTGGGAGTTTAGCAACTTCTGGAGAGTTTCATGATAGAACTCAGAACGGGAATGCTGTGTTGCATATAAGGAACACTGCTTTAAACTGCTGCAATCCCCACCCCCACCGTTGATATTTTATCATTCAGAAGGATTCCTTTTCTGGAAAGGCTAGACAAGAATGTTCCAGATAAATAACACAACACCTCAATCTTCAAAGGCCAAAGGTACATGTGCTGTAACATGTTTATTTATTTATTTATAAATAAATAACACAACACATCAATCTGCAAAGGCCAAAGGTACATGTTCTGTAACATATTTATTTATTTATTTATTTAAATTTATACCCCACCCATTTAGACCCAAGTCTACTCTGGGCGGCTAACAATAAAAAATGGTGCAAAAGCGATATAATAAAATACAGTAGAGAACAACAATAGTAATATCGTTCAAGATGGGGAAAAGATAAAAATAATCAAGTGATGACAGGAGGGAAAGCATGCCTAAAGAAGCCAGGTCATAAGTTGGCTCTTAAAAACACCCAGCGAGGGAGCCGGACAGATCTCTGAAGGGAAACTGTTCCAAAGGTGAGGGGCCACCGCCGAGAAGGCCCAGATTCTTGTTCATTCTCTCCAGGCCTCCCTCGGCGTTATTTATAATAATCATTGCAGTAATTCACTTGGAGCACATTATATTCCAATGATGTGGCACTATTTTTTTACCTGGCCCCTTATCATTTCAAAAGCTATCCCCGCTTGCCCCAACTGAGACCATGGCTAGACTCATAGATTTCCTAGGTCCAATGTCATCATCATCCACTAATCCCTGCCCCCGTCTTTCCACATCCATATATCACTCACATATGAATTCAGAATTGCTCAGTGGAGATTTTTGTTCCTTCCATTGATTCCTATGAATCAGAACTGCAGCCTTTATGATTTAGAGCACAGCTACACCTTTTACAGATAAAATTCTAAATAGCAAGCCATCGCTATTTCCAAAGTGCCTTTAAAATCTTGCAGCAGCACTTAGGTGAAAATAAGTAAGATTTTTTTTAAAAAAA